CCACCCCCGTCCCTTCCTCCCTCTTTCCCTCTGTGCTACACCCTGTTGAGTTATCTTGTTTCGTCCATCCATCCTGCCAACACCGCCAAAAAGCAGGCTCCACGCCAAATACCCCTCTCCCCAGAAGGACGTCCTGCTCCTGGGACAGGCTTCACAGTTTGAGAAGCAGAGCGTAAAGTGAAAATGTGGGCTCCCTGTTCAAAAATTTTAAGACTTTCAAAGTGGCAACAGCAGAGCATGAAACCAAGCGAGGGCCCTTCGAGATTGCACAAGGTGGACGCCCAGGCCTGCCCATCACCCTGTATCCTGGGGGCATAAGGGATGGAGGAATGGAGGAAAGCACCCTCAGGCCACCAGGGGGCACTAGATTTTCACGTGTCGCTTCTCAGAGCTTCCAAAGCAGGTAACTTGGATATGGGCGTCAGGCGTGAACCGGACAGCAAGGTATATCTGGGTAGAAGGTCCCTTTTGGATGCCAGGGCCAGCTCCAGCTATGGGTCCTCCCTCCTTTACTGAGGTCTTGGGAGGCGGCAGCTGGTGAGACTGGGCTTCCCATTAGATACCAAGTTGTTTCCTTCCTGAGACTGAGGAAAATAAAAGACGACCTGGGGCTTCTACACTAGAGGTGAGGTCGGGAAGGGGACACCACCCCTGCCCTGAGAAGTGCTCTAGAGGAAGCATGTGACATCCTAGGAGACAAAGCCCAAGGCCGAGGGTCCCTCTAGGACTGCTGTGCTTAACGGGGCAGCAGTAAATAGGTCTGTGGCAATGAGATGGGCTGGGCCAGGGCCACTCCTATGGGTCTCTCTGGGTGGCTCCCGGAAGATTTGCTGGGGCTGAAGGGAGACCCATTTGAGGACATTCTGGCAGAGGGGGACAGGGACAAAGAATTATGGCAGGCCCTCACCTCCCAGCATGATGCTGGGTTCCTGGAAGGGCCAGGATGGCCTAGCAGTCCCTGAGCTCTTGGGCCCAGTCTCCAGTCTACAAAAGAGGAGCTCTCAGGAGGCCAGATCCCAGTCTCCTTTATGGCTGGAAGGAGTGCGTGGGCAAGCAAGGGCCTGGCTACCCCTCTCGGGCGTCCCACTCTGCAGCAGGGATGCTGGTGGTCCCCATGGCCTTTCGTGGGGAGCTGCAAGTGGAGTGATGGTATGAGCCTGGCTGTGTGCACCAGGCCACTCACCAAGCTGCCCCAGGACTGAGTCGGACCCTGCCTTCACTTTCTCTTTCTTCTCGGGGCTGCCCTTCGGACCCTCGCGGCCTTTCCTTTTCGAGTCGCTCTTCTTGCCCTTTGCTCTCCTCCCAGACCGCTCTGCGTCAGGGAAA